TTCATTATGGGTGGATCATTAGTTTGAAGGTCGATAAATCTGAACCCCTAGTTGCCAAACTACCCAAAGTAATGTTGTTCACAAGGCTTGTTTATTCATCTCTTCCTGGATTTCAGTGAAGTGTCTATGCTTATAATAAACACATTTTTTGGTGAAGTAGTTGGAGCAGGTTTAGGTCCCTTGCAATTAAATTGTCTCCATGGTGCAGTAGTCTCTGTCCTCAAAGAGCTGAGAATGAGAGCAAAAATTTAGTATGATTTTATAACCTAAATGCTTATATAACCTGTTTATTAACTGGACACAACTTCGTGGGCATATAAATGAAATGTTTATTCCAATGATAGTCTTCTTTAATAACATGTTGGCCAGATTCTATACTTTTTCAGACACTTATAGTGTTATTAGAATCTTGTCGTTCTAGTATTTAAAATTCAGTTGTATTCATTTTAAAAAGTTTTAGTTTCAGATCTGACTCAATGTTCTCCTTGTCTCTTCTTCAAAGAGATAGGAGGTGATGTGGCTCACGCATGCCTTTCCCCCCTTCCTCTTCTAGATTCTTGTTCCTTCTCTGTTGGGGATTTGTAAAAGGAAATAGAAAAGGCTAAGTAAGTCTTAACTGAGCTTATAATTGTTTCTTCTCGATCTAAATAGACTAGCTGTGAATGTTCTCTGTGTTGCTGGCACATTGCTGATATCCATTGTGTGGTGGGTGTGATTGTAGGTAGAATATTCAGGGTGTATGAATGGACACCCCCATGTAGCACTTCTGCAGATCTTGAAGGAGGACTTACAGAGATTTCCCTATTACTCAGTTTCCTGGTAAGGGAGATTTACTTCCAGTTTGACTACTATCGTCCCTCTTCCGTAGCTCACAACACAGGTGGATTGTCGTACAACTTTTAGCTGCTTGGATCGTTCTCCTCTGCAGTAGAGTATCAGCAAGTTGACTCATCACATTCCTAAGTGTCCACTTGACACATGGAAAATCATATAGGTTTACCACGCTAGGTAGTAGGAAAATAGGCTGCTGTAATACCATTCCTATAATTATCTTTGATATCTTTCTCTTTCCCCTCTCTCCACACTACCTCAACAGAATTAGTCATGGGGATCCAAGCAGAATAGGGGACAATTCAGAGACTCACTTTACAAGTGATTCTCCTGGAGTCTGCTTCCCTTGGCTTCAGGAAAGGTAATATCCTCCCCCCTTTGAAAGAAGTGAGGCCAGGGAATGCCCTGTCTCATAGGGGAATATAGTGGTTCATTGAAAGCTCCCTGAAGGGAGTGAATGTCTAAGTAGAGAACTGAAAGTTAAATCGTTTTCCAGGCTAAGAATAAGAATGGGAAAGTGGCAAGGAAATGAGAGAAAGCACAAGATATTTACCCCATAACTAGGATCAAAAGTCTCTCTCCCTCCAAATCCCTAACACGGCCCCTGACACAAAACAGGCATCCTACCAATGTATATGGCATCACCTATTCACCCTATATGAAGATTTCCAGGATAATTGGGCTGGTTGCTCCTTGTGTACTTAAATGTCCATTCACATACTTAATTATGATCACAAACATTCCTTGTGATATTTTCCGAACACCTTCTGTAACAGGCTGGATCATGTCCACCCCCAAAGATGTCTACTTTCTAATCCCAGAAACTTGATACTTACCTTATATGGTGAGAAGGACTTTGTGGATGTGATTAAATCAAGGATCTTGAGATGGGGAGATTATCCTGGACTAGCCAGATGGGTCCAGTGTAATCTCAGGGGTTCTTTTAAAAAGGACACAGGAAGGTTAGAATCTGAGAAGGCAGTTAGATCATGAAAGCAGGAGTGATATATCTAGGAGCCAAGGAATAGCAGCGACTAATAGAAAGTTGGAAAAAGCAAGAAATGCATTCTCCGCTAGAGCTTCCAGAAGAAGCACAGAAGAAACACAGCCCTACCAATACGTTGATTCTAGCCCACTGGACTGATTTTGGACTTCTGACCTCCACACCCATAAGATAATAAATGTGTGTTACTTTAAGCCACTAAGTTTGTGGTAATTTATTGCAACAGCAAAAAGGAAACCAATATCCTTTTCATATCCCTTGCTCCTCTGTGGTTTCCCTTCATATTCCTCTCTTTCTTTCCTCTCTCACTCCCTTCATTGCAGGGGCCAATTCTCCCTACAGCTTGCCTCCTTCCTGTCTTAAATAGTTTAAGCTGGGGGCGCCTGGGTGGCTCAGTCTGTTAAGAGGCTGCCTTCGGCTGGGTCATGATCCTGGGCTCTTGGGAGCGAGCCCCACATCCGAGTCCCTGCTCAGCGGAGGGCCTACTTCTCCCTCTCCATCTGCCTGCCACTCTGCCTACTTGTTCTCTCTCTCTCTCTCTCAAATAAATAAATAAAATCTTTAAAAAAATAGTTTAAGCTGATGATCTTATGAATGTGACATTAAATTTTACAGCTCTTCCTCACACTCTACAATTTTCACAGTCTGCGGGGTGCCAATTCTGCCTGCCTGCCTTCTTCACCTGGACCCAGTCTCTGGGCTGGGCTCAGTTTCACGGTTTAATGTTAGCAAACAAAGAGATGTTTTCTTGTTGTTTTTGTTCTTGTTGGGGCTTTTTTGTTTTGTTTTCATCCTAGAGTTTTCCAACAAGTGAAAAATCTTCGTACAATATCTTTCTTGCAAGGAAAACTAGACACATATCTCTTTTCTCAGCAATAATGAGGAAGGAGGAAAGGGAAAGTCTATCTTTAGTGTGAAATGGAACATCTTAAATGGATCGTATGAGTATATTGAAACTTCTCTAGCTCTTTCTTTCAGAATCCAAACAGTCTGAGTCAGAGAATAAATAGATTTAAGACCAAACTTGTATTAGACAATTAGTGGAGAAAATAACTTTGTCAGAAATTGAAGCTGAAAGCCAAATTGTATTTTAATTCTTTGCTATGCTTGTCTTTTTTGTTGTTAAGGATTGGAAATTACCTTGGGTAATATTTCTGATGACTTCATAGCCCCTCATTTTTCTCTTCTAATTAAAAAAATTAATGAGGGGGCCATTTTATAGTTGGTGAAAGTTAGTGCTCTAGCAGTGAAGATTGTCTTTACAATGTTCTCAGCCGATATCATCAGCATCTTCTTAAACGTCTCCAATAAGCAGCTCCTCATATAGCCAATGTTGCCTTTGGAAGAGAGTACAGTGAAAAGTATAACATTCTTCCTCACTTAGACTGAGATTCTATATTACTCTGACACATTTTTTGAATAAGTCAATTATTATGCATATTATACATTATACATATGTACACATATGTAATTGTTTTCTTTTGTGTATTGATTTAGAGGATTAAAGACATGCAAACAAATACCTGAAAATTCTAATTTCTGACATAATACATGTGCTTGATGAGGCCTCCTGCTCTTCAGAAATGCAGTTGAACTTGGCCTAAATCCCAAATCCATAGCCTATCATGGTCCAGAGAGGTTCCCACAATTTTTCTGGCATCCTAATTGAATTCTCACTTTTCTCTCTGAGCCCAAATGATTTAATCTTTTCAAATATGAACACAAAATACCCACTTCTTGTCCTCACACCATGTACTCACCCCAACTGTTCCATGAGACTCATAATTTAGATTTGAGAGATTAAGGAAAGATCATAATACAGAACATAAAGCCTTTTGTCTTTCCCTGGTTCTGCCCCATTATTTTTCCCTTCTCGCATCCTCTTTCTTCCTGATTCAACCAAAAATTTCCCCTCCTTCTCTCATTCAGGGCAAGCCCAAGCTCCATTGGGATCCAGGCTTCCAGCATGATTGGCTTGCCAAGTAATTTCCACTAAACAAACAGTAATCTCCTTGAAGGCAGGCTGTCATGAATATCCTTGATTCCACCCTTTGCACAAAGAAATGGTGAATCAGTTATACATCTATCAGCGTGGGGTGAACATTTACCTTTTCGTTTCCCCCTTCCTGACTGCTGTCATAGGCAAAGGCAGATATCTAAAGTCTCAGCTGTGGAATCCACTGAAGATAAACCAGAGTGTTGCAGAACACGGGCAGGGCACTCAGAGACCTGGCCCCATTACGCCCTTGCCTTGCTTTTCACCTTGACCATGTAGCCTCTCAGAGTCTCAGAACCTCACCAGGTTGTTGGGAATATGAAATCATCTCTTGCATGTGGAAATAATTTGAAAAGAGTACCGTGCCATACAGGTGTCTGTTGTGATTATTCCTGTGATGTTCATTTAAAGCAACAAACAGACCGTGTGTAGTTGAACACAGTTGTAAGGAAAAGACTCACAGTTTGCACTTGATAAGCTTCCCAGATTTAGCAACATCTTGGCTGCATGTTTGGCCAGGAAACTCTGTAAAGATCTGTTTTCTAGGGGAGAGACTAAGGACTTCCTTCTCTCTTGTAGGCTCAAATTCGTGAGACTGTCCTTTCTGGGTATTTTTTTAACAAGTCCACCTCCAGTCCAGATGGCATAAGAAAGCACAGTGGCAGGACAAAATAACAAACAACAGCAATCACACTTTTTCAAATATTCATCCATTTGTATGCAATTCAGGAGACTGGGAAATGTTTGAGGACAGCTTCAAGGATAAACAAGATCAGCAAAATATAGGCTATCAGTGATTCAGATGCAGGGAATAGTGAAGTGACATTTATTTATGCAGGGCTGGGATAAACAGGTTTTTTTTCTCAGTCAGTTCCCCAATGCTCTCCAGCTTAGACCCATAGGAGGAAGGTGAGAGGCTAATAACCCCTGGAGGAGCCCTCACCACGTCTGGAAGAAGGCCAGTCTCAGGAGGAGCAACCAGAATGGGCAGAATGTCACCTCTCAGCTGACACTCGGTCCAGGATGCAGTAGCTCCTTTATGCCCCCTGATCCTTATTGTGTACGTTCCGTAGCCAGACCATCACCCTGGTAGCCTGAAGTATTGCCTCTCTCTTCTCAGTGTCCTGAAGTCATCAGGGACCCCCTCGCTGCGAAACACAGCAGCTTTACCTGCCTTCTCTCCCTCTCTCAAGTCTCCGTCACGTGAACACCTGTGCCCACCATTTGGTGAAGTTCTCTTGCGGGCTGGCTTCTGGGCCAGCCTCTCCAGATTCCCCATGGCGTCTCGTAACCCCTTCTGTCCTGGCAGCTCTTCAGAGGCCAATACTTCAGTGTCATGGTTATGCCAAGGATTTTGTAGTGGTTCTTTTTCTTCCTCTCTTAACCCTCACGTCCTTGGAAACTTAGCTAACTCATGGCCTCAGTTTTCAATTTAGTTGCTTTCAAACAGTACAGCTTCATCCTTAATTTCTCTCCCCATTTTGGCCGCCATCAACTACATCGATAACTGGGTGTCTTATCGGCAGCCCTAAGTCACTCTCCAAAAATGGAAGTCGTCCTCTCCTTCCTGAACCTCCTGTCCCCTGTTCTCTGGTTCTGTTAATAGCACCATTGTCCCCAGTCCAGGTCCTACCCCCAACCGTTCCCCACCCACTCCCCTAACATTTACACTGCAGTTTCTCCTGTGATCTCTCTCTCCATCTCTCCCACCCTTCTCCCCTCCCCCTTCCACTTTCTGCTTTTCCATTTTCCCTCATTAATCGGGTGCCAAGATGGGTCAATTTTATCAGCTCAGTTCCTTGGACTGTCTCCCATCCCTCCATTCAAACTGCTGTTAACCCAGAACAAGTTCATTAACCTATTTTTTTTCTTTCTTGATTATAAAACATTTCAAACTTAGAAAGGTAAGAAATATATGTGGAAACACCCAGATTTTGCAAGTATTAACTTTTATGTATTAAGACATATCACATTGAATATTATCTTCGTTATCACTGTGACTATACATCCCCCTCTCTCCTTCTCTGAAGTTACTACTCTGAAATTGGAAGATCCCTCTCCCAGCCAATAACATGCCACAATTTATCCATTCACCTACTGATTTATTGTTTCCCAGTTTTTCTTTAGTACAGTATGTACGAAACAACACCAACTCTGGAAGAGGAATTATTGGGCTTGTGCATCCTCAGTTTTAGTGGAAATTAGTGCCAATTGCTCTCTAAGTGACATATCAAAATACATTTTCACCACCACCATGTAGAGATCCTGCTCCCACGAGGAGCATCCCTGTTCTTGCCGACACTTGATGTTATTAGGATTTTTAATTTTTGCCAATTGGATGAATGCAAAACTATATCTGACTATTGCTTCAAATTACATTTGTGTGGATGCTCATGAGATTAATCATCTTCTCATGCATTTATTGGCTATTTAGGTTTTCTTTTCTATATATCTCCCATACTTATCACTTGATTATTTTTATATTGTTATTTTGTTGTTGATTTGCAAGATTTTTTAAACATTCTGTATATCAATCTTCTTTTGTTATATGCAAATACATTTCCATAGTTTATCTCATTTTTTAAAAGGCATATGATATCCTTTGTTGCATGGAAAATACTAACTTTAATGAGGCCAGATTCCCAAATTTTTCTTTATATTTAGTTTTTGAGTCTTACTCAAAAAATATTTATCTAAGCATATATTCTTCAGTTTTTAAAATAATTTTTAAATTTTTGCTCTTCTTCAAGACTGTTTTGTAATTCCACTTTTATCATTTGATATATGTATGGGTAAAATACATCATAACATCTAGTAACATACATCTTTTAGTTGTATTTTCTTCTTTAAGATTTCTCTATTTTTGGACCTTTGGTTAAACCATTTCTCTGGTTGTTTTATAATTAGCTTGTCAGTTTCCACAAACTGGTTATATTCTTATTACATTAACTTTATGAAACATTTCAGGGATATTCAGTATCTTTGCAATGGTGAATCTTCACATCCGTGAAGATGGCGTATTTCTCCATTTACCAGAATCTTCTTTTGCTCTCATAATAATGTTTTGTAGTATTTGGTGTAGTGAAGTGCAATGTTTTTGACATTATTTGTTATTTTTATTCTTATTTGATATTTTAGATAATATTGTAAATGACATTTTTGTAAATTTATTTTTAATTTGTATGTCACTGATGTATAGAAGTATAACTAATTCTTATATATTAATCTTATCTCTGGTGGCCTTTGCATTCCAATTGTCTGTAGACACAAAAATGACATTTGCAAATAATGGCCCTCTCTTTTTATTCTTTTCTAATCCTTATAACATTTTTCTTGCTTCCTGTACTGACTGAATCTCCAGTATAAAATTGAAATCAACAGATAATAGCAGATAACTTTGCCTGATCCTTGATTCCAGGAAAAAAAAAAACTTTCAATAATTTCTGTTGGTTTTCTTTGTAGTTACTCTATCAGGAATTTTCCTTTTATTCTTGGCTTACCAGAAATTTGTATCGTGAATAAGTTCTAATGTTTGTCAAATGCTTTTTCTTCATCTATCAAGCTGTCATTTTTTTTTCAGTTAAGGTGATAAACTAAAGTAATCAATTATCAAATGGTAAACCACATTGTATTTCTAAAATGAGTGTCACTTGATGCTGTCATATTATCATTGTCTATGTCTCTGTATTAAATTTATTAATATTATATTTCAGGGGCACCTGCATGGCTCAGTCTTTAAGCATCTGCCTTCAGCTCAGGTCATGATCCCAGGGTCCTGGGATTGGGCCCCGCATCGGGCTCCCTGCTCAGCGGGAAGCCTGCTTCTCCCTCTCCCACTCCCCCTGCTTGTGTTCCCTCTCTCGCTGTGTCTCTCCCTGTCAAATAAATAAATAAAATCTTTTAAAAAATTTATATTTCAAATTTTTGCCTCTAATATCATGACAGGGATCAGACTTTGCTTTTTTTTTAATGTCCTTGTTAGGTTTTACCATGAAGTTTATTCTCATTTCATAAAAAGAATTGGTATGTATTTCTTTTTTCTGTATTCTGCAACAGTTAGTAAATGATGATGTGATTTATTTTATTTTTTTGGGAGAGAGAGAGCACAAGCACATGCATGTGAGTGGGGAGGTGGGGCAAAGGGAGAGAGAGAATCTTAAGCAGGCTCAGTACTCAGTACTCAGTACTCTCACAACACTCTGAGATAATAACTTGAGCCGAAATCAAGTTGGATGCTTAACTGACTGACCACCCAGGCGCCCCTCATTTTTAAACATATGGGATAATTCACCTGTAAAGCCATCTTGTTGTGGAGTTTCTCTTATTATGTGTTTTTTAATGATTCAATACTTTTATATAAATAGAGCTACTAGAAACTTCCATTTCTTCTATTTTCCTAGAATCTTTTTTAATATTGTCTAAATTATTACATGTAGTGTTAGAAAGTTGCTCACTTATATCTTCCAGTTGTCCTTCTATTGAGAATTGTGTCAGGATACTGCCCAGTTTTTCATTCCTGATGTAATAATTTGTAATTTTTTTCTTAATATTTTCAAAGAACCAACTTTAGTATTTGTTGAATTTTTTATTTTCTATTTTTTTATTGAGATGTAATTGACATGTGACTTTATATTAGTTTCAGGTTACAACATAATGATTCAGCATATGTTTATTGCAAAATGATCACTACAATAAGTCTAGTTAATATCCATCACCTCACATAGTTAAAATTATTTTTTCTTGTGATAAGAACTTTTAATATCTACTCTCCCAGCAACTTTCAAATACACACTACAGTATTATTAGTCACCATGCTCTACATTATATCCACAGGACTTACTTATTTTATAACTGGAAGTTTGTACCTTTTGATCCTTTGTTTTCTATTACTTTGATTTATGCTGTTATTTTTATTATTTACCTGTTTCTACTTTCTTTGGGTTTATTTGTAGGGTTCCTTTTTCCTAGCTTCTTAAGATAGAAACTGAGCTAACTCATTTTTAGCCCATATTCTTTCTAGGAAATGCATTTAAGACCAAAAATTTCCCTCTAAGCACAGATTTTCCTATATCCCATGGTTTGAAAATCATTTATTTTAAATATTTTCTAAATTCCATATTTTGGTGCTTGAGTTATTTATAAATGTATTGTTTGATTTCTAAATAGTTTGATATTTTTTAGTTGTTTTGACTTCAAATTCTAGTTTAATTCTGTGGTAAAATAAAATTATACACATTATTTCAATCTTTAAAAATTTGTTGAGATTTCTTTACTGGCCCAGAATATGGTCAATTTTTGTATAAAATACATGTGTACTTGAGAAAGGCTATGTTTTCTGTCTTCTTGTGCAGTGTATTAATTGTGTTGTTCAGATTTTCTGCATTCTTGCTGAATTTTATTTTCTCATGTAAATTCAAATTTTAGATTCCTTTTTTGGAATAAAACAGGCTCTTCACTGTTTATAAGGTTAAATCTGAGTTGCAACATGAGTTCCTCCATGTTTTTTTAACTCCTATATTCCTCTATTCAATCTTGGCTGCCACAATCACACAGAAAATGCAAAGACACTTTTTCTTGCATTTGTGGGGAAACCTAGCAGCAAATAGTAACTGCTCCAGGTCTGTCAAATAGATACATTTGAATTTGTTGTCTGTTTGTTCTAAAAGCTATTGAAGGAGATATGATAGTGTCACATAATAATCGTGGATTTGTAATACCTCCCTTTTAGTTCTATAAATTTTTTATTTTTATATTTTAAAGTTATGTTATTTGATATATACAGATTTATAACTGTGTTATCTTCACTGTGCATTGAACCCATAATTATTATGAAAGAGTACTACTTATTTTTAGTTTTGCCTTAATCTTCTATGAAAGTTATTAGTGTTGCTACAGGACCTATTCTTCTTTGGTTAATATTCATATAGTTTACCTTTTTCCCTTATTTTTTCCCAACATTTCTGTTTTCTTACATTTAAGATATGTTTTTATAAGCAGCTTATATTGAATTTGGTTTTTGTAATACATCTGTCAATCTTAGTCTTCAAACAGATTATATAGTTTGCATACACTTAATGTGTTACAACTCTATTTGTATTTAAAACTATAACCTAATATGTGTTCTCTATTTGCACACCACTCCCATTTTACAATACTCTTTCTGTTTTATTGATTGCTTTATTTTCTCTTCTGTTTTATTGATTGACAGATATCTTTATTATTTAACTTCCCCTCTTTTAACTAGTTAGGTCTACATTACTTTCCTATTCCTTTCATTGT